GAGGGTAGTGCGACTCTGAATGCAGATGAGGCGGTAGCACGCGGGTGCGCCCTTCAGGTATCTTTTTTTTTCACATATACGCTTTGATGTCACGTCCTGCCATCTAAAAAAACATCCTTATTTAGGCTGCCATTTGCTCACCCGCATTTAAAGTTCGAGAATTCTCAATTGTTGATGTATGTCCTTACTCGATTTCGCTCAACTGGGAACCAGCTGATGAGGTTATGGAAATTCCGAAAGACGAGGATGCTAGTGAAGTTACCCGGGGTACCACATTGGAAATCTTCAAACATCTTTCCATGACTCCCGCCTCAAAACAGTTCAGACTTTGTCGAAAGAGTGATTTTACATTGACAGCTAGGTATTCTAACCCGGATACATTACACATCAAAAATCCCCTAATCGGAGTGTTTAGAATTACAAATATTGTTCCAACTCCACCAGATGTTTCGTGTCTGGTGAAAATCAAGGCTAGAGTGAACTCAAATGGTATCTTCACGATCAGCAGCGCAGATATTATGGAGAAAGTAGAAAAGGAGGTTGAGGTTCCAATTGAGGACTCGAAACCAGATACTTCCAGCGTCGCTAACGCCAGTGGAACTGAAATGGAGACTGAAACTCATTCTTCGGAGCAGCCTCCAGCGGTTGGTGCAGCATCTGGCGTTGCTGAGGCGGCTGTCGCGAATCAGTCGCCTCCAAAACCCAAGACTAGACTGGAGAAAAAAATTGTCCTTCGCCCTCGTGGTGTTCCAGTTGATGCGACGACCTCTCAGCTAACTCCAGATCAATTGCTCGAGTTCACAGATTTTCAGGTGAGCTACTAAATGCACAAACTAACGTCTTTCTGTCGACTGAACAAACGATTGCAGCGCAGTCATTTGTTATTTCTTGAAAGGCGAGGCTTAATCAGAGCGATATGATTGAACGCGAGCGTCAGGACTTGAAGAATGCACTCGAGGCGTATGTATATGAGATGCGAAGCAAATTGGAGACGTGTTTGCAACACTACACAACGGAAACGGAACGTGATTCCTTTAACAAGGCGCTTACTGACACTGAGGATTGGATTTATGATGAAGGTGAAGATGCTAAGAAGTCAACCATTTCGAAGCGTCTCAAAGCTCTTCAGCAGACGGGTGATCGGTATTGTCTTCGCTTCGCGGAGGCTGATAGTCGGCGTCCTGCAATCGAAGCTCTAGCTAACTCGTGCGAAGTTAGTTTGTTATCTTGTTTAATGCACCTTCTTGAAATGGTTTCACTTAAATCACTGCCGTTTTATTTAGAAAGTCAAACAGGTGGTGGAAGATTATGCGGCTGGTGATCCGCAGTATGACCACCTGTCCAAGGAAGATATGGCAAAGGTTGAGAACACTTTAAAGACCATGCAGCAGCGTCTTAATGCCTTCGTTGAGGCTGCTAAACAATTGCATCCCACCTCGGATCCGACTGTTTTTGTGTCTGAGCTCTATAACGCGCAGAAGGTATGCGGTGTCAGTTTGAAAAGCTTTGTTTAGTCCATACTTAGGTTCCCTTAGTAATGCCACTATCTTTCATTCTTTCCCGTAAGACTACTTACATTGACACTTACTACCATGATATTAGGTCTGTCATTGTGTAATGCGGCTGTTATCAATTCTCCTCCTGTAGGAGTTGGAGAGCATTTGCAATCCGATAATTACGAGGCCAAAGCCGGCTCCGCCACCACCCAAGCCTGCGGACAACGGTGGTTCCAAGACTGTTGGCAGAGCAACGGAAGATGGGGAGGGCAATGTGGCCTCTCCTAAATCCGGCAAAACTCCCAGTGTTCCTAACGGAGGTGAAGTACCTGACTCCACGTCGGCCACCACTCTTGCTGGTGGTGAGGACATGGACGTGGATTAGATCTCCTCGTCCGTGTTGCATCATATATATTCCATCACGCAAATACTGCTGTCGCGCTACGGTCGCTGCTTCTTGTTTTCAATCATTACACTCTTTTGATGCTAAACGAAAGCGGTTAAGTACGCGTCCTCTTTCATTCTACCACTTCCTTCAGTAATACTTTTTATTGTTGGTAATGTGTGAGCGCACTCGGTGTTGTTGAAAACATTGAAGTTATCTCTCTGACTATCTTTTATCATTTGGGTAAACAACAGGTGGTTGTGGTGGGATTTGTCTTTCATCCAATCTTGGTTAGGTGGTGCGGAGGTCCTCGTATGTAGTGTATCTGGAAAACCCTGTCAGGGCGGATAGCTCATTGGTATCGACTTTGGGTTTCCTTTCATTACCACTTTTTCGTGCGTGGTTGTCCCCTAATTTCGACGTATGTCGGTGCTTGTACTTGAGTGGTGACATTCAGTCTGTCCCCGTGCCTCCACTTTGGCTGCCATCGGCTTTTCGGATTGAAATGTATTGCTGCTTATGGGAAATTGCATTCGACTTCAATCGGTACCACTCAGAAGGTCGAGGTTTTTTGTCGTCGAAAATAGCTATTATAAGTGGTGTAATGGCATTTGTTTGGAGTTGTGGCTACGCCATCCATTTGGATCGAGCAGTCGAAAGAGTTGGTGATTCTGTGTGAACGCTCTTCAGCGACTCCTTCTTAAGTGATCTGCATTGACCTCATCGTCATAGTCTTCAAATGTGCTTGAAGGATTTTGTAAAAAAACTTTAACAGTTTTGTTTCGAAGGTGCGTAAAGTTGCCTCATCTTTGCGTGGAGTAGTGACAACAGCTGACTTGCTGTTTATTGCCCTTTAATATCTGTTACTCACACAAGCTCATGCTGGGGCTCTACTGATGTAGTTATTTCTCTAAGGTGATTTCGGATTGGAAGTGCACTTGCTCAGGATGTGTCACTATCTCTGAGGGAGGGTGAGGCTAGTGGTCGCTTCACCAACCCACACTTCTCCCAACTCCTCCACTAGCCGAGTTTAAAAAGCAACATGTTTGCATGACCACTCCTTATTATCCGCAATTTTCATTATCTAAATTTAGCTTAAACAAGTAACCTGGAAAAACCATTTCGCTCGCCTTTCCAGTGCAAAAAAAAACTGGTCATTTTGCATGTAAAGTCATTGATCCACCTTTGACCATGTGTTGTTAAGTCCGTGGTGGACGGTGGATACGACGTCCCAGAGGCGGGCGTGGGCACGTACGTGCATGTTGGCGCGTCCGTGTGGAGTACTTCATGTCTGTGCACTAAGCATCACGATTGGCTTTTCCAAATCTGAGAGGGTGAAGGCTGCATTCCACGACCCCAATTACGCCATCATCTTGTTGGTGCCTTGGTGAGGTAACATTTTGCCCTGCAAAGGTGGTACCCCTACGTTAGGCTTAATGGCGTGAAGTTTTGCTGCGCCAGACTCGGTGCCTGATTTTACGGGTCGGCCTGGGGGATGGCTGCAATGTTGCACTCGAATCATAGAGCCTGTAACTGCCAAGAATTCTGTCTTTGATGTGCTTATAAATTGTGTTAAATCATAAACTCATGTGAAAGCATAGGAAGTTGGTTGGACATCTTAATTTGGCTTGATGTCTCGCATTCACTGTAGCGTGAATTCACTCCATTGCTTTTGTGCACACACGTCAATGTAGAGATTGACATTTAACAGCGTGAGACAGCGTAGCCACATACCTACCAGTTCTGGAGGACACCGGCGATCCTCGCATGGAATACCGTTTGTTAGACCACATCTATGGCAACCAAACCCAGTGTGCAGTGATGTCGGTGATAGCTCAGAGGATCAGGCAGAGGAAGGCAGTTAAAAATAGCGTGGACTTTTGTGAATTTGCACCACTTTCGAATCCCCACCTCATATTTCGAATAGCCCAACTTCACTATCCTCGCGTCTCTGTAACTCACATACGAAACACTTTTAAATAAGATTTTACGGGAAGGAGAATAAGTCACGACATTAAAATGATGAATTAGCATGAAGATCTCTCAGCACTTTGAAACTGGAGCACTAGCTTTACCCTTGTCCTTTGTGTTTGCCTTAGCCATTTTCTTTTGAGATATGTGTGTGGTCACATGATATGCGAGTAAATGGGGAATTGGGATAAAGTGATGGGAAAGAACCTAAGCAAACAAAGAGCATATTTTTATTTGCTTTTGATAAATAGGCAGCTTTTATAAACTCGCAACAATTCCAACCATTTGCAGTGGAATATCGACTGATTTTGAAGATTATGCCCGGTTAATGCTTTCATCATGAGAATAGGAATAGGAGTATCGCTGCGCTAAAAAATAATCTGATGCTTGCGGTCAGTCAAGCTAAATTTGACTTTGCCATCCTCTAATCAAAACATGGCACTTGAGTCTATTAACCGGAGTTCGAGGTCTTACTTTTCGTTGAAAAGGAATTTCAGTAAACCTTTTAGTGGCGAAATTAAATGTCGTCATGGAATAATTTTGTTCTTTTAACTCATATTTGACCACTTTACGATGCAACAAAGAAAGCAGATAATGTTAAGTTTGAGACATTGCATGTGTCGTACAAATCCCTAAATCGACCAATTAAAAAAATTAAACACAATTTGGTGTATTGATGACCTTGAAAGGCATGGTGACCATTTTACGTGTTTATTTGGAAACGGGCTCAAGCCGTTAGGGCAGTGTTGAATTTATTTTAAAATGCAAAAATAATCAAAGTGAGACGTTGAGGGCCTAAAAAATATGTATACGTCGTCCGAATACCAAAAGCTTGTGTGAGCTAAAGGTACCGATTTTTACCATAAGCTCTTGTTGTTTACTTTCTCATGGTTTTGGTCGGATGAATGTTTGTAGTCGAGGTAAAGCAATTCTCCCATTTGATATTTTAGGGTGTGCTTTATTCTCTGTTCTTAACTAATAAATGCGTGTAATTTTTTCGTTGTTTGGTCATAGTTTTCATTTGTATTTGGGAAAAATTCCGGAAGACACCTAGAGGACTGTTGGACTCGACAAAATCCATAGTTACACGTAGAAGACTCCCGCTCATTACTGCACTTCAAACTGCGGAGACGTGATTTTCATGTTCATGGCTCTTTATCATCTTGATTCTCGGATTTAAAATGATTATTTTAGCAGAGGAGGCAATAAAAATTCTGCTAACAAACAGAGCAAGCTTAGGCTGTTTTTAGTCTCGTAAACACGGTCCATCATTAAATTCAAATCTCTTCACATGATGGTTTTACATTCGGGCAACTTGAAAGTAGAATTATGCTAGCATAGAATTCATGTGTACTGTTGGGGTCTTAGTTGTCCAAATTCTCCGTTCTGTCGGTTTTTATCTCTGTGAGTGGATGTGTTTAGCCACTGCGCGCGTAACTCTGGGTCTAGTTTCCAGAATGATAACATGATATCGCAATGCTGTAACACATTTCAGTACGATTGACCAAAACTTACAGCCTGATCCAAAATAGTTCCAACGTCTTGAAGTAGATACTTCATTCATCGGCCAAATGGCTTCACCTAACATGTTAATTAGGCAAAGGTTTTTTTGCCAAATACACGAATGGGCTCTACTATGCATAATTCCTTTGCCCTCGACCAGTCTTGGCGGATAATGTGTAGATCAGACACCAACTTATACTGCTTGAGCATCAAAACTGACTCGTGAACGTTCCCAATGTTCGTCCTTCCTACCGTCGTTGACTTCATTGTCCATTAATGTCCTCAGGCAAAAGTATTGACCTCAGCTACAGAAAATATAACGGCAAATTTACTCTTATTTCACTAAACAGTGGAGCTTGCCACTTTGTAATATTTGTCTCTTCTAGGCTACCAGAGAGGGTAGATGGAGTCTTCCTTCCGGCTAAAGTCATACAGTTGTGCCACATGCCATCTATGGTAAGAACGGACTCCATGAAGCATGGCTACCTTCCAGAGAGCTATATAAACTCCTGCCAACGTGTCATTTGTCTGACTTATCTCCGATTATTTCTACTGTCCACAATCTATTAAATAAGAGGTGCAGAATTTCAAATCACTGAAGTCAAGAGGAGTGTGCCAAAGCTGAAAATGACAGCGTTTACAATCGCTAATCACAATGTATTTCCACTTCCATTGCCTGCATTAATAAATGCTTTGCATTGGACGTTGGTTTCTATGTTAGACACTTAACAAAATTAATGGTAAGATGCGCAATATGGTATTTATTTTTAAATACTCGACTGTTTATGGTCTCTTAAAAATCGCTTCATACCAACCTGGGCTCCTCACCGGTAGGATGTTTGCAGTGTTAGTGATGCAAGCTAAGGCTATTTCCAAGTTGAACCTGAAGTGCCTTTAAATTGCAATTGCTTTTACAAGGCACTAGGTGGCTACGTTACCGTTACTCCCATTGCTGCATTTGTTTAGCACCTGCAATCCAGTTTTTCTCTCCACTCCACTCCCTGATGACTGTAAGCCTAACACATTTTATTTGACTTCGCTTTACTTTTTAAAGGGAATTTATCGACACAATTGCTCTTCCATGTTTTCAAACCCTCAACAGTCAGTGTCCATTTGACTCAAGTTAGGCGATCTCTGTAGCAACTCTCTGCACATCCACTGATAGTCCACAACGTCATTGGCGGTATCGCGTTACACGTGGTGGCGAAGTGTGGCGCGTGTTACATGCTCCGATGTGTCAACCCACGCACAATTAATCAAGGCGTTGACAGT